TGCCTGTGGGGTCCAGCAAAAGCACCACGTTTCTAATATATGTAGGGAGAAACCAACAGGGAAGTTGGACCCTTCCAAGTGGTTAGATGGCAAACACCCTAGGACATCTTGGTTGTCACACCTGCTCCCACCCAATTGATTYCCATCACTGCCTTCAGGAARAGTCCCCTTGGAGGAAGGTAACAGCTCCCCTCCTCTTAGCCATGCTACTACCAATGCAGCCCCATAGGTGTCCTCTGAATTCWGGTKAGCATGAACCACTGCCTCATGTGGCATCCCTTGTAACAGCCAGGCCTTTCTCCTCAGGCCTGCTCTGAGTACCTCATGTTCAGTCTGTCATGACAGACAAAGTTATATTCTTCCCCACAATGAGGTGCTGCCAGGAGCTTTCCTTGCTAGCGAAAAGCAGTATGAAAAGATGAAGCAGATCAAAACATTCCCCAAATTTAGAATTTCAGACTGGACATTAGAATGAAGAAACGTCCCTTGAAGGCTAATGCTGTGGTGCAACAGGACACCCAGGAGGAGTCAAGGATCATGTGTTAGAAGGAAGAGGCAGTGAGSATGGAGACACATCAGTGAAGGGAAGGAGATCCTGTATGACAGCAAAGTGGGGAAGCAGGTTGGGTGCCTACAGGCTGCATGGACGCAGCTGCAGGTATGAGACTACAAAGGACAGGCTCTGATGGAGATGTTCAAAGGAACCATCTGGGCTCACAGACACCAGAGGGGGTCTTCATCCCCTTGGCTATRGCTGTTGTCTCTGCCACCAAGGCCTGCCAGGACAAACTGGGGCCTCASTGTCCCCTTGTTGTTACCCTGAAAGSWGTCRTAWCAWTGTCCTGCAYTGAGCAYTGCACACACCACCCCACACACTGTCCTCAAGRMGGCCTGGAAAACATGTGGGAGAAAGGATCTCMCTTCCCAGAAGTGCARTGGCCAAGCCTGGACATTTTGCTTAATACATCAAGGGTTAATGTGGCATCAGAGCCACTTGCACATTTCCTCTGCCTACCTGTTATCAGGGAGGAAAATTTTCTGTCATGGTGTCTCCAGTAAATGCCCATGTTTCTAGCATATTCAAGAGAGAACTAACAGGAAAGTCAGGCCCTTTGGAAGTGTTCAGTGCTCTAACACCTACGACACCTTGGTTTTCACACCTCCTACCCCCAAAATGACTCCTACCACTGCCTTCAGGAAAAGTTGCTCAGTGGGAAGAGCTCTCTCTGTCTCAGTAAGCATCTTACTACTAATGATGCCCTGTAGGCATCTGGCACTGCAGGTCCATCACTGCAGTTGGTCTCATGAAAGGATGTTTGTCTCAAAAGGGTGGACATCTTCTGCCCTTGAAGYCTTTGCTGCTATCCTGTAGGAAGACAGAACACTTGCACAGGGGCAAGAAGCAAGTTCATTTCCTCATGCTTCAGAAAGGGATCTATATATATTGATTTCATACAAGGGAAATAGACCTACTCAGACATTTCAGATGCCTGKGGTGTCCAACAAAAGCACCACGTTTCTAACACATTCAAGGGGAAACCAACAGGGAAATTGGGCCCTTCCAAGTGGTTAGATGGCAAACGCCCTAAGACATCTCGGTTGTCACACCTGCTCCCACCAAACTGATT